TGAGGGACCCCACGCAGAGACCCGTGAAGGGCGTGGTGGCGAGACCTGAGACGGCCCCGCGGGCAGCCAGCGGGGTGCCCCAGAAGGGCAGCGGTCAGGTGGGTGCCCTTGGTGGTCAGGCGCGGCTCTGCTGGCTGCGGGATGCCCACTGCCTTTAGGGATGGCGGCGGCCTCCCTGTGTCTCCCAGCTCCACGGTGTGGAGGGACCCAACTCCTGCGCTCGAGCGACCTCCAGCCTTCACAAGAGGCAGCTTCCCTCCTAAAGCATGGGACCCTGTGCGTCAGGGACAGCTGCCCCCGTGGCACATGTGCCTGGTGGCCCCATCATTGCCCGGCCCTGTCTCATCCCACTGCTGCCCTGAGGACTTGCTCTACTGCCACCTATGTCTAGGGCCCAGCGATGAGGAATGGGCTGTGTCAGTAATTCCTCTTCCTTCGTGTGTGTTTGTTTTTTGAGAGAGGGTCTCACTGTGCAGTTGAGGCTGGACTTGAGTTCACTATGTGGTGTGGGCTGGCTTTGAACTCACAATGACCTTCCTGCCTCAGCCTCCTGAGCGCTGGGATTACAAATATGCACCATCTAGTAATGCCTCTTAAGTAAGAGCTTTTTTGGTTTTTTTTTTTGGTACTAGGAATCGAACTTAGGACCTTGGGCTTGCCAGGCAGGCGCTCGTGCCACTGAGTTACATCCCCTGCCCAATAACAGCTTTTAGATATGAAGCCCCATACTATAAAGTTCACACTTGTAACCTGTGCGAGTCATTTTTAGTATACTGAAAAGGTTGCACAAGCCGGGCTGCACACACCTGTAATCCCAGTGATCTGGACAGAGAGTCAGGAGATCGACAAGAGTTTGAAGTCAGCCTGGGCTGTGTAGTGAGTTCATGGTCAGCTTGCGCTGCATTAAAAAAAAAAAAAAAAAAAAAAAAAAAAATGCAAACCCCATCCCTGTGAGCAGTCACCCGCTCCCTTCCCAGCCCCGTACCTCTAAGGCTACTTCCTGTCTTTGGATTCACCTGTCCTGGGCATTTCCTGTCTGTAGAACCCTTCGCTGTGTTTCCTTCTGTGTCTGATGTCTCTCACTGAGCACAGCATCTTCAAGGTCCTCTACCCATGGCAAGTGTCATGGCCGAGTGACGTTCCAGCATAGGGTGGACCTCGCTGTGTGCCCATCCGTCCACTGACGGACGCTTGGCCGGTCTTGATCAGGCTTCTGTGAACGTTTCCACGTTGTGGATCCTTTGGGGCCAGGTCACCAGGGGGGTGCCTGAGGTGCAGAGCTGGGCATGGGGAGCCCAGTGGAGGTGGCAGGACGGGTCCGTTCCTGGGGTCACTCGCTGATCCCCTCCAGGAGGTGCGGGAGACGCGGCGGCGGCACGAGCAGCGCCTGGTCGAGGTGGACAGCAGCCGGCAGCAAGAGTACGACTTCAAGATGGCGCAGGCGCTAGAGGAGCTGCGCGGCCAGCACGACGAGCAAGTGCGGCTCTACCGGCTGGAGCTGGAGCAGACCTACCAGACCAAGGTGCCGCAGTGTTGCGGGGTGGCGGGCAGGCCGTCCACGCCCGCGTCTCACCGCTCGTGTCCCCTTCCCCAAGCTGGAGA